GTGAATGCTTCCCAAAGGCTATCCACTTTAGAGGTGGACAAGATGACCCATTCCATGAAGTCAGTTGGCCTCTCTCCTCGGATACCCTAGTGCTTGCAAAATGGCCTTAGCACAAGCATGGAGGCTACACACATCCCCTGACTAAAGCAGATCTGGCTACCACCCCTGCTGAGTACCCAAACTGCCAATAGCAGAGGCCAATGTTGAGCCCCTAACATGGCACCATTTCTGAAAGAATTAGCCATCCATCTAGTTAGTGGGAGGATGACTATAGTGAGCACCTTCCTTCATAAGAGGAGAGTGGTTTTTTGTTTTTTTTTTTTGCTTACCAGAATAAACACGTATTTTGGATATGGATTTACATTCCCTGATATTCTGCAGCATCACCATCTGGGGACTTATAGAATGTCTTATTCTTTATCCTAGTAACTCACATAACATTGCTGCGAACGATGGAACACACTTGATAGCAAATAAGTGTGATAATGAGCCCATAAACATGGAATTCACTTTTTTTTTTTACCATGTACCCCATCATGTAGAAGTAGCTGACCTAACAGAAAGGTAAAGTTGTTTTTTAACAACTTATTTATTACACCAGTTAGGAGACTACCCCCTGTGAAGTTGGGGCTCTGACTACTTATAGGATAAGGTTTCACATAAACCAGCAACCAATACTGATGCTGTTTTTCTCATAACCAGAATATAGGATCTAGGAATTAATGGAAACAAATGAGAATAGATCCTCTTATAATCATCCACTTGCAGAATTTTTGCCTCCATTCCTTCAAGTAGAGGTCTTAGTTGCCTAGGGAGGAATACTTTTATAGGGGACACAAAGAATAGTTTCTCTTAACTAGAAGTTGAGATTGCTACTGGCCACTTGGGTTCCTCAATCCACTAAACCAATAGGCAGAAAAAGAGGAGCTTACTATATTGGTTGATTGATACTGATTATCAAAAGTAGGTATGATTGCTGTTACACCTTGAGGACAAAAAGAAATATGACTGGAATCCAGGGAATTATAAGGTGTTCCTCTTAGAAGTGTCATGTCCATTAGTCAAAGTTAATGGAATTTTTGCAAGATGAAAAGAGTTCTGAAGATGGATGGTGGTGACGGTAGGACAGTAATGTGAAGGTACTCTTGTGAATGCCACTGTACATTTAAAAATGGTTAAGATAAGGGGCGCCTGGCTGGTTCAGTCAGTAGAACACCTGACTCTTGATCTCAGGGTCATGAGTTTGAGCCCCATGTTGGGTATAGAGATTTTTTTTTTTTTTAATTTTTAAATGGTTAAGATTGTAAATTTTATGTTATGTGTATGATACCACAATTTTAAAAAGCATTAATAGAAGACTACCACAACCCAATAAAAAAGCATTCATAACTCTGATCCTTTAGGAAAGACCATTTAGGATATCACGCCAGTTAAAGAGACCAGTCCAGGTGCTAGATAAGGGAGAAGGAAACATTAAGTAGGTGATGGAGGAAGGATTCATAAATATGTACTATGGCCTCCTGACCAGTGAAGAAAAGATTATTGTAGGGGCGCCTGGGTGGCTCAGGTTGTTAAGCGACTGCCTTCGGCTCAGGTCATGATCCTGGAGTCCCGGGATCGAGTCCCGCATCGGGCTCCCTGCTCGGCAGGGAGTCTGCTTCTCCCTCTGACCCTCCCCCCTCTCATGTGCTCTCTCTCTCATTCTCTCTCTCTCAAATAAATAAAATCTTAAAAGAAAAAAAAAGAAAAGATTATTGTAGCAAATATGCATATTTTCTTCCCTGCTTATTGTGTGTGTGTAAACTGCTAGTGGTGAATGACTTTGCAACTTAGTTTTTAGATTATAAAATATCCACTTGGCACTGTGACTGCTTCAGAAGAGAAAATATCATCCAGAAATGGATACAGTGACCCAACAGACGGTGTCTCATCCCTTTACGGAAGAGGGTGAAAGTATCTTCGTGGGAGAGGAAAAGTTCCTTCATGTAAGATGAAAGCATATTGTGGTTGCTAGTATTGTAAGGAAATTAAATATGGAGAGAAAGAGGAGAGTAGATGCTGGGTTTCCAAGGGTTGGGTGGCACCACTCATCTGCCTATTTGCTCTTGAACTTTATTCCTTTCCTCTGTGTTCTGCTAGGTATTATTAGGGGCCACCCCTAAGCTACACTTCCTAGACCACCTTTCCGTTTGGCTTCCAGTGAGATACTGCCAAGGGAGGGACTGGGGAGACTGGAAGGCCAGAAGAGGGGAGAAGCAACTCTCTCCTTTGTTTCTGACAGCTTTTTGCTGGAGGCACCAGTGCAGCACCAGCATCCGTGCTGGTGGAGGTTCCAGCCCTGATTGAGGCAGCACATCTGCAGCAGATCCAGAACTGCAGCAACAACCTCTCTAAAAGCCCAGCAGCAGGGACAGGCTTGTGGGCCCCAGTCCAGGAGTGTGGGGGCATCTGATCTCTGGGTATCAACCTTTTTCGTTCTTGCTCTTCCAGCCCTTCCACCGCCTATGTAACCAATTCCCTCTATTTATTGTTGCTAATATTTAGGTGGAATAAAGGTACTCTGTTTTCAAGAGCCCTTATCTTTTAGAGGTATACACTGCATTATTTACAGATGAAACTACATGAATCTGCTGTATTCATTTATGGCTGGATATGTCTGAGATTTTTCTGAAGAATAATTTAAGGTGGGGCACCTGGGCGGCTCAGTCGGTTAAGCGTCGGCCTTCAGCTCAAGTCACGATCCCAGGGTCCTGGGATTGAGCCCCATGTTGGGCTCTCTGCTCAGCAGGGAGCCTGGTCCTCCCTCTCCCTCTGGCATTCACCCTGCTTGTGCTCTCTTGCTCGCTCTGTCAAATAAATAAATAAAAGCTTAAAAAAAAAAGAATAAGGTTGGGTGTGGCAGGGTATAGATGAAACAGGATTGGTTGTGACCTCAGAACTGTCAGGCAATAATCGTTAGGTGATGGGTACATGGAAGTTCATTTTGCCATTGACTCTACTTCTATGTGTGTTTGAAATTTTCCATAATAAAATGCCAACCATTATCTCTCCCCATGAAAAACAATTAAATCCCCTCAATTTGCAATACCTGAAGTGGTTTTTATATTCCTGACTAGACCCTGACTGATGTGTGTCTGGTCATAGAGAAAGCCTGACTAAGATGAAGCCAATACCAAGGGAAAAAAAAAGATGTGTGCATGTGCCTGAGAAAGCGAGTGAGAGAAGACAAGACAGAGGTTACACGCATGCTCAAGAAATACACTGAGATGCACGTGGAGCCCTGACAACAGCCTGTGCACCTGTATCCAGCCATATGTGAATCCAGCGTTCACCTTAGGACTTTACAGGTACATGAGCCAATAAATTCCCTTTTTTAAAGACTTATTTATTTTAGAGAGAGAGAAAGAGCATGCATGCTAGTGGAGGGAGAGGCAGAGGGAGAGGGAGCGAATCCTCAAGCAGACTCCCCACTGAGTGCAGACCCCAATGTGGGCTTGATCCCATGACCCCAAGAGCATGACCTGAGCCAAAACCAAGAGTTGGATGCTCAACCGACTGAGCCACCCAGGTGCCCCATAAATTCCCTTTTTGGTTGAGCTAGTTTGAGTTGACTTCTGTCACTTGCAAACAAAAGGAGCCTAATGAAATCCCTAATATGATGATCATTACTATTATCCAAACCCCTTGGGTAACTAACCAACCACTATCATCAGTATAAACTCCATCACATCTGCCATCATCACAACAAACATCATCACCATGACTTTCACCTTCACCATCTCTAAATCAACTAACATCCATTGAATACCTACAAGCAAAAGCACTGGATCCTCATCCAGGTGCTTCAGATCAAAGATGACTAAGACAGAACCTCTGCCCTCATAGTGCTCACAATCCTTTTGGGAGACTATATGTGTATCATCAATTTATCTATTATTTACATATATGTACATATTTGTGAGACATAAGTCACAACAGAATATATAAACTTCTAAAGTAAGAGGGAAAACATTAAATTCAACAGATGCTTAGAGAAGGGAGGAAGAAGTATGGTCTAAAGCAGTCAGGGAAGGCTTCTGATAGGGAAAGGAGGAGGGTCTGAGCAGGCCCTTGGAATACATGCAGAATCCACATAAGAGAATGTAATGGTCAGAAGCATGGTCTTTGTTTTTTTTTTTTTTTTTTTTTTTAAGACTTTATTTATTTGACAGAGAGAGACACAGCGAGAAAGGGAACATAAGCAGGGGGAGTGGGAGAGGGAGAAGCAGGCTTCCCGCGGAGCAGGGAGCCCGATGCGGGGCTCGATCCCAGGACCCCAGGATCATGACCTGAGCCGAAGGCAGACGCTTAATGACTGAGCCACCCAGGCTCCCCCATAAGCATGGTCTTTGGAGTCAGATGGACCTCATTAAATTCTGGCTCAGTCACTTATCAGCAGTTATTTAACATATCCGTGCCTCATTTTCTCATCTGTAAAACACGGATAGTAACAGGCACCTACTTCATAGGCTTGTTTTGAGGATTAAATGACTTAATATGTATAACGTGCTGAGAACAGTGTCTGGCACATAGTAAACACTATGTATATGGCATTAGCATTATTATACATTCTGGTCAGAAGGCATAGCCTGAACCAAGGTGCAGAATGGGAACATACAAAGCTTAGTAGGTTTGTGAAGGGGAAGAGTCTGGCAAGAGCAATATCCACAATTTACCAATGACCAATCAGAGACAGGGAAAGTGACTTGCTAGATACCTGAGTGTCTCCTAACAGCACAGAAGAGTGTGAAGACACCCATCTGAGGCCTAATCATTCTTTGGGGCCCCGCTCCCATGACTGCCTTTCCTAGGAGCTTCAGTAGGCAGCATTTTCCCAGCTTTGAGCACTCATAGACTGTCATTATAGCACTTCTGAGCTGCTCTGGGCTATTTCCTTGCATACTTGCACCCAAAGGTTCATGAGGGAACACATGGGATGGATCCTAGGATGTGGAACTTACTGTTCTGTGACAGCCAAATTGGGTGGCAGGGAGGTGAGCCCATTGCCTGTGAGGAGCAGGACACGGAGGTGTGGCAGAATCCCCAGATCACAAATGGCCTCTGCAGTCAGGCTGTTGAAGGAAAGGTCCAGGAACTATGTACAAAGATAAAAGATGGGAGAACGGAAGCACTATACATGACAATGATGCTCATACATGAGGTGGGAGCTAACTATTTTTTTTAACCTTCTAGGCAACCCCATCTCTCATAAACCTAAAATCTTTTTGACTCTCTCTGGATTAACATTCAAGGCCTACTATAGTCAGTTCCCGGCCTATTTGCTAGCTTTAGCTCCCACTGCAAATCTTGATTTATCCTGTGGAGCTGACCAAAGTGACTCCTTCCCCATTCCCTGCACCATCCCACCTAGAGATCTTTGCTTGAGCTTTTCACTCAACCAGGAGAACTTTTCCCTCTCCATGTATCTTAATCTAAGCCCCAGAAGGCCAACTCAAAAGTTGCCTCCTTATAAAACTTTTCCTAATTCACCAGCCAGATGGAATCTCTTTCTCCCCTGAATTTGAGTGCTCTATCTAGGGAAACTTCTCATGGTCAACCAGGTATCTGATAGGTAGACACACATCTGAGGAATAGGGATGTTGGTACATGGATGTGCCTAGCATAGTCTTGGTACACAAAGGTAGGCTAGACCATAAACTCCCTGGTCAAGGGCCTTGCTACTGTATCACTATATCCTTGTAACCTAGCATAGGACCTGGTACATAGTAGGTGCATATAAAAAATCAGCTGAAATGAACTGGCTTATGAGGGCAATGACCGAAACTGTCACTACCAACCACTTTCTAACTGGCCACCTAGATTCATGAAATAGTTCACTGGGTCAGAGGCCAGTCAGGAAACTGAATTTCTGTCTGCAAAGACAAAGACAATTGGGATAAATGATAGAAAACCCAATCTTTGTTCTTTCTCTTTTGGGCCTCTCTACACACTCACTTTAGCTCTTATGTATAAGTCTGCTTCCTTTCCTCCCCTTCTCTCCACACACAGTCATTGAAGCCTATTGAATGGGGGCATTTCAGCATCTTACCCAGCTGGTTGACCACATCAGTGTTACATAGTCAGTCAGACATATAACCAAGTGGCTGTAGGTCACTGCCAGAGGAGACTGAATTTGGTCTGACTCTACTATAGTAATCAATTGATGGATTCTGTAGATCTGAGTTTAAATACTGTCCAAATGTGTGATTTGGGCAAATTACCTAACCTGAGCTTCTATAAAATAGAAATAATAATGAATTATTATAAGAAATTATGTAACATAGTAAGTGCTTAGTTAATGTTGGCTGTCATCATTATAACCATCTCTTCATTCAGGGATGTATGCTGAAGGCTTACTCTGTATCAGTCTGTCCTCTGTTAACTCACAACCTAGCTGGTCAGCTACTAAGTAGCAATGCTGCTGGGATAGAGGTCTGAACACAGACCAATGGAAGCACAAAGAAAGGAACAGTCAGCTCTACCACAGGATCCAGCAGGCTTCATGGAGCAGGTGACGCTCGAGCTGTCTTCAGAGACTAGTTGGTATTCACCAAATTGTTAAAGGCAAAAAGAGAGGCAGTGCAGCCAGGAGACAGGAGGTAGCCTACCTTGTTCTAAGAACTGCAAATAGCTTGGGTATGACTAGAGTCCGTGGTATAACAGAGGGTTTGATAAGACTGGGCCGGCCGTGAAAGGTGCCAAGCACCAAAGAAGTGCTGAGTTCATGCTGCCATCAGCAAATTCCAAGTTTTGAGAGTTCACACAAAGGGATGATTCCACTTGGCAGGGGCAAAGAGAGAAGCCTTCAAGGAGAAGACCTAGAAAGCTGGCTCAGATAATTGTAGATAAAGGTGGGAAAATCCTCTCCCTCATACCCATATGTGGGCAGTCAATAAGACCTATGGATTCTGTCTCCTTAATATCTCTCATTCTGTTCCCTCCAACTCATGATTCATGCAGTGGCCATACCTATCATCCACTGGATACTTCAAACTCCTTAGTGAGGCCTCCAAGGCTTCCTACAGTCTCTCTTCTGCTACCTCTCCAGGCTCATCTATCACTACTCTACAGTGTTTCACTTTCCATTCCAACCACACTGAGCTGTTTCATCAGTGTGCTAGCTCAGGAGTTGGTAAACTAACACCTCTCAGCCATTTCCATCCTGCCGCCTGTTTTGTACAGCCTGTGGGCTAAGAATAATTTTTGCACTTTTAAATGGTTGAAAAAAGATCAAATGAAGACTGCTGTGTGAAAATTATCTGAAATTCAAATTTCAGCATCATAAAATTTTATTGGAACACAGCCATGCTCATTTTTTTATGTAGTATTTATGGCTGCTTTCCTTCTAGAACAGCAGAGTTGACTAGTTATGACCATACAGACCACAAAGCTTAAAATATTCACTTTACAGAAGAAGTTTGCCGACTCTTGTCCTCGCTGATTTGGCTACTTAATGTTGGGGCCAAATTTGCTCTCCACAGAATTAAGAGCAGCTCAAAGAAATGAATGGTCTTAGAATAATAGGTCACAGAACTTCAGAGCTGACCCAGAATTTGAAGAGGGGTATACTTAAGTCCCAGAGAAGGGAAGTGATTTGGCCAAGGAGCTATGTCAAAATAGTGGCAGAACCAAGACAAGAAACAAGGTCTCCTAACTCTCAGGGCAGGGCACCAGCTGAGCCTTTTTCAGACCAGTATGCAGAAAATAAAATCATGGCAAAGTTAAGTTTTTCTAAATTGACTGCTGAAGAATTCTACTCCTTGGGTGGCAGCTTTCTGGCAAACAAGAACAGAAGATTCCTAACCTACTGCATCTGCTGAGTTGTATCAAGTTTTATTATACATCAAAGTATTCATTACTGTGAACTGCAAATTCAGGACTTTTGACAGTTTTATTCTTTTTCTTAGAGAGACCTTGTAAATCACAGAGATAGAAACCAATGATTAGCCAAGAGATTTCCTCTTCTCATTTATATTCAGCATCTTGACTTTGGTCTGCTCTCTTATGTAAATAAATTCCCCTGGGTAAGGCTGGGTCTGCCTGATAAATAATCTTTATCAGAAGCTATCAAACTAAGAAGTAGGGCATCTAAGTCAATCATGATCAATCAGTAGATCCAAGCTAGTCAGCTGTGGGGTCAGAGTCATGTCCCCTCCCCAGGGCCCATAGGTACTTGAAATTGGGATTTGAAATAGTACTGGTGAGGAAGACAAGATGCCTGGCACAATGCATGACAATGCATGACACAAATAACTACTTTTTAAAAAAGTAAAATAACAAAAAAATGGAAGTTCATAAGAAGCTCCCAGGCCTGTAGGTAAAAGAAATGGCTACCTGCATCTCTAGCATCAGGACTCTGTTTCCCACTGTTTATATTAAAATCTAGTATACAGATTTTTTTTAACATAGCAAAAAATTACACCAGTTATTGTCAATTTATACTCTATTTTATTGGACTTTCAAGAGCTCTGCTTATTGGACAAATCTGAGGACAACTCCTGTTCCAAATCACATAGTAAATCACCCCTATCCTCAATATCACTTGAAACCATGGAGAGAAGTTACCATTACATCTAGGATATCATGTTTTAAGAACAAAAGAACATATAATCCATTTTAGAAGATTGCCATCCCAAGCAGTTAAAGCTTTTTTTTTTTTTTTTAAAGATTTTATTTATTTATTTGACAGAGAGAATGAGAGAGAGAGAGAGAGAGCACATGAGAGGGGGGAGGGTCAGAGGGAGAAGCAGACTCCCTGCCGAGCAGAGAGCCCGATGCGGGACTCGATCCAGGGACTCGATCCAGGGACTCCAGGATCATGACCTGAGCTGAAGGCAGTCGCTTAACCAACTGAGCCACCCAGGCGCCCCAGTTAAAGCTTTTTAAAACTTTGGCATACAAAGGCCATCAAGTCTGAAAGATTGATTCTTGTGGAAGAACCCTCTCTCTCTCTGGCAAGACTAAGTTAAGTGAGGCTTTTGTGAAGAGTGGCTGACCCTTGATGCCCTTGATGTTGGCGGATTAAATGATTTAAGTTACCAACTCTTTGGGGTCAACCCCAAGGCTTATGACGCACAGACATTCTGCTGAGATCTGAATCTAAAACATTTGTACTATAAGGCCAACACCTGGGGAAGAGCCCCTTATTCAGTGAATGAGCCTGGCCAGAAGCCCGGCCCCACACCTTGCTCCAACTCTAATCTCCATGCATGCAGTGACTTTCAGGGAGTGACAAAAGCTTTGTTGCTTTGTGAAAAATGGCCCTCAAGTTTTCATGGAAGTTGAAGAGGTGATTAACTTGAAGTATGAGAAGATGCATAGAAAATGCATCACCATAGGAAACTTAATTTAGGAGAAAGCCAAGAATGCAAACAAATTTTTCTGTATTTTTGAATCCGGGGTTTGGAGAACAGCTATGGATGTACAAATGTCAAGAGTATGCTATAGAACTCATAGGATTCCTGTTTTATTTCACAGTCACCTCTGGGCCTATAGATTAGGCCTTTAGCCTCCCTTACCTGAGCCCACTGGAGCCAATCTGGCTCATTTGGACCATGATGGGTCTCCGGCATCAGTCCATAATGCCTCTAGTTCAGCTGGTCTGATCTGCTGTGCCTCGCACTTAACCTCCAAGGCTCCTCAACCCCCACTGGATCCAGATCTCCCCTCAAACTCTCCTTCCTAAAGTACTCTGTTTAAACTCAATTTTCTACACGGACTCCTTTAGCATGATGTTTGGCATTTATTCTCCAGGACCATGCACAATGGCCATAGGTATGATACAGTCTCACCTATTTGCCACTGCTGCCATTCACAACCACTACCCTCATCATCACCACCAACCCTACCACCCTTTGCAGAGGACTGCTGTGAAGCAAGAGTCTGGCTGTAGCCAGAGAGCTCCTTCCCAACAGTTATAATCAGTAGAGACCTCTATACCCATTCTTTATAGGGAAACAGGTGGGCACCAAAAACTCCCTACCTCCAACTTACTTCCAAGAACTTAAAGTCTCCATATTTCACGTAGACTGTTTTGATTCCATTAAATGCAAGCTCCAGTTCCTTTAAGGTTGGAAATGTATGAAATGCCTCTACAGGAGAGGAGAAAGAGAGAATCAGCTACTTGTGAAGGATGTAAGAGAAAGATGTTAACGGTGGTCATTTACTGGGTTCCCACTGGGTTAAGCCAAGCTTATGGTCAGATGCTTTGTACACATGGCCTCTGAATCTCTAACAACCCTGAACAATAGGGATTACTATTCTCATTCTACTGCTGAGGAAACTGAAACTCGGCTAGGATAAGTGATTTGCTAGAAATGGAATTGCTGGGAAGTGAAAGAGCCAAGAACTGAATCTATGTCTAACTCCAAAGCCCATTTAAAAATTATCTTTGTTATTCCTTACTATAAAAGTAAAACATGCCTACCAAAAAAAGTTAAAAAATACAGAAAAACAAAAGTTCCCTTTAATCTCAACACCCAGACATAACCATTGAAAATTTCATGTATAATACTCCAGAATTCTTCTCATGTGTACAGTGAAACACAGACACATCTTTTTACACAAATGGAATCACACCATACACATCGTACTGTGATTTGCCTTCTTCCCTTAACAATATGACTTAAAGATTGTTCCATGTTGGGGTGCCTGGGTGGCGCAGTTGGTTAAGTGTCTAACTCTTGGTTTCGGCTCAGGTTGTAATCTTAGGATTTTGAGATTGAGCCCCAGATTGAGCCCCGCTTTGAGCCCTGTGTCAAGCCCCGCATTGGGCTCCACGCTAACTGCAGAGTCTGCTTGACTCTGCTCTCCCTGTCCCTCTGTCCCTCCCCGCCTCCACCCTGTGCTTCCTCTGTCTTTCTCAAATAAATAAATAAATCTAAAAAAAAGCTTGTTCCATGTCAAAACATAAGGATCTGCATAATGTCTGAGTTATGTTCTATATTACAGACATACCCTAATTTATTTAACCATTCCCCTATTGATAGCCTTTGGGCTATCTGGATAAAAAGAACACTTTTCCTCTTCTGCATGAGAACTGGACTTTGGGTTAACTTTCTAGCCCCTTTCCCTGGTAATCTGAAACAGATGGTATGGTACCATAGTTAGGCAATATTATTATGGTAAAATGATGCCAGACTGACAAGTCACATCTGGACTAGGAGAAACTCTAAATGAACTACAAACATCTGAAGGTGCACCATAACTTTGGGCTTCCCTGTGTGTGGTGACTCCCATAATTAGTCATGTCCTTTGCCAGGACTCTAGGAGCTATGTCTATGGAGTGTTACAATAGCTATTTGCTCCTGTGGGGAATGAGGTTTCTAAGCCAGAGTGGCTCCTACATCTACCGAAGGACAGTCTTACTGTCTTGGACCTGAGCAGCGGGCTGCAGAGAATGGCCCACAGACGGCTGCAGGGACTGCTGCTACAGGCACTGCTGTGAGGACTCCTCTGAAGAGAAACTGCAGATGCTGTGCTGCAGGTATACTGTGTGGAATGACAGAGCTTTCTGGTGTCAAGTGGGGCCTATGGTGGTCTTGGGAGTCAGAATGTTCAGTATAGCCCATGAAAAAGACTGCTTGATAGGTATTTCAGTATGTTTCCAATGAACGTCCTCACACAAGTGTGTTTCTGTAGAATCAATTCCTGAAAGGGAAACTACTAGATTAAAGGCAATGACTATTTTAACAGACATTGCCAAACTATCTTCCAAAGACGTTGCATCAATTTATTACACTTCTGCCAGTTGAATGTGAGAATATCTGTTTCCCCATCAATGCTGGCTGTCATCAATCAGTCCTTCTCATGTTTGCCAATATTTCACAGGCAAAAAATAGGATTTTGATGCTGTTTTAATTATTAGTGAGGTTGAACATCTTTTCATATGCCTATTGGCCTTTGTATTTCAAGCCCACCTTCCTGACAAGACTGTACTCTTTCCTCAAGGGCAGGGACTGTGTCACAAGCTTCTTTAAAAACACCCTTCAACCTCAACCACTAAAAACTGAAATCATCTTATTTCTCCCCAAACTCTAGTGCTCTCTGTTTTCAGTGAACCCCCTTGGCTCCATCAGCTACCAAGTCCTGTTATTTCTACCGCCTCCTGAATCTCTCTTGCAATGACCCTCACCCCTACTGCCTGGCTCAGGCTTTCCTACCCCCGCCCCCAGGAAAAATGAAATCATCTCCCAGGTTTCCTGGTCCCCATCTTCTTCTCTTATCATTCACCTTCCTCATGGCTCCCACTGAAATTCTCTACTTAAAAGCCTTCCAAAGCTCTCTTTTGCCTGCAGGATTAGTGACAACTCAGGGCCCTTGATACTCTAGTCCCTGCCAGCCTTTCTGGTCTCCATTTTCCCCTATTCACATCCCATGAAAACATACAGAGCCTCTTCAGTGTCCTGATCAGGCACTGCTGCCCCACATCTACTCCGCTGGACTGAAATACCTTCTAATTCCTGTTCATTTTTTCGGTCTCAGCTCGGTGCCCTTCTCCTCAGAAGTTTCTCCTGACACTCTGGTCTGGGTTGGTGTCCGCTTATATGCTTGCATAGCATTTTCTGATTCCCTCTATCACTGCACTTACCATATCCTGCTATAATTGTCTGTGTCTGAACCCGTCTTTCCCACCAAACTATGAGCTCACCAGAACAGGCACTGATTCGTTTCTAAAAGCCAAGCATGCACATAGTCCTGACACCCAGCAGGGGTCGCTGTGGACTTGCTGAATAAAGGAGAAGCCTTTATGCTCCCGTAGGAGTTCTTACAGGCTTAAAAACAATTTCATATACCTCTCTCATCTCAGCCTACTAGGCATCCTGGCTTGGGGAGGAAGAAAGGAAGGGAACTGTCTCCATTTACAGACAGAGAAGCAGCATCTCAGAGAGAAACACTCTAAATAGGTAGTGCCAGCTCTGGGCTGAAATCTTGCGCTGGGCGTTCTCCAGCACCTAGCCTACGGCACCCTAAAAAAGAGATGAGCAGCCAGTCATGAATGGACTGACAGGCAAGTTCTAACAGGAGTGACTGGCTGTGCTGGCTGAGAAGCTTACCTAGAGGAAGCAGGTTTTCTGAGGCATTGATGTAAATCACCGAATGAAAATGCTTGAAGTCCTTTTCCTTAGCCTGTGGGAAAGCATTTCAAAAGAACACAAGATTAGTGCCCTGCCCGGAGGGCTTGCCAAAGCTCCAGAGCTGCTGTCAGAAGGCACAAAGACCTACAGGGATAAGCTATATTCTTAGCAAAGTACACCCACTTGCTAAGGGCCAGAATGGCTTTTCTGCTGCTTTTTTTCTATTATGAAATAGTTCAAATGTACAGAAAAGTTTAGTGAACGATACTTTGAAGACCCATGTAACCACTGTCCACCTTTATGTGAAGATTTTGCTGTCTCCGCTTCAAATTTCCTTAAAGAAATAAAATACTAAAGAGTTGACCCCACCCCCCACCCCTCCAATCTTCCCCAATTGTATTCTTTTCCCCTTCTCACAGATAACAGCTATCTTGAACTGGTGATTATCATTCTCATACTTGTTTTATACTTGTATTCTATATATGTGTATCTATAAACTATATATAATATTATTTGTAAGTTTTAAAACTCTATATTAGATGCAATCATACTGTGTCATTCTGCAATCCGCCTTTCCCACTCAACACTATGTTTTTGAGATTTACTTGTGTTGATACACCTAGATCTTTTGAGATTTACTTACGTTATGTTACTTGTGGTACTGATTTATTTATTTTAATTGCTGTATATTTTATACCACCAATCTCTCTTCATATGCCATGGAAGGCCTATAAACCAAAAACATGGCATAATATCCTGCACATATACTGGCTAATGGGGGGGGGGCACAAATGTGGCTCAAGCTACCTATTAGCCAATGTAAGAAAGAAACATGACTCATTACATGAGTCACCTAGTGTGTATAAGAACAAACCAGCATCTTGGGAGAACCATTACCACTCCTACACTGAAACTTGAGAGAAATTTCTCCTACAGGCTCTTCTAATGGGAACTCAGTGTCACCCCAGCAGAGGTCTATGACAAATTCAAACCAACTCCCATAATGCTACTTCCTTTAATTCACCTCACATGGGCCAATGGCAATAGCAAATTCACAGCAAAATATTGTGTCTGCATGTTGTTTCTACCCAGTGAAGCTTTGTCTGACGCCCCCCACCCCAAACCCCCAGTCCTCAGGGACTCTGGAGGTACAATGGACAAACAGCCAGGAGCCACCTCAGGTCTGGCTCATCCCAATCACATCTCTACTGGCTGGCCCTACCTTGGAGAACTTCAGGCCGCTCACATTAATGTTGACCAGGTCTGATGGCTTCCTCACACAATGGTGCTTCAGCTGGAACACAGTGCAGAGAGTCAGGTCTCAAGGCCCCAAGAAAGTTTATATAATTGGCCAAGACAACAAATGACTCCCTGTTGAGAAAGGGGGCCTAGTACAGCGCGAAGAGTATGGGCTTTGGGAGTCACTCAGAACAGAGCTGCCACCTCAGCTCTTCCACCTCTCAGCTTCCCAGCTCCAAGATGCGGATAGTAACACTGACTTGACAGGGTTCGTAGGATTCCTTCCTCTCTGTTCCTCCTCTGTCTTTTCTGAGCCCCGCTTTTTCTACCTGACTCTTCAAAAAATATGTATTTCTGGGGCCTTACCAATCTCTTCATGTTTATAATAATTTGCTTGTTTATTTGTTTGTTCGTTTTTTTATTCACTAAATATTTACTAAGTATTGCTTTGGGCCATGTATTGTGCTAAATACATCAATACATTTTCTTCTAATCCTAACTAAACCCTTTAACATAAGTATGATCATTTTTCCTTTTTAAATGAGAAAAATAAGGTTAAGAGAGATAAAGTGCCTTGCTGAAGGTCCCACAGCTAGTAAGTGATAGATGATTTGAATCCAAATGTGTTATCATTAAACTCTGTGCTCTTTTGACTACCATATGTTGCCCCTCATAAGTAAAAAGTTAAAGGAAAACTTAGTGTTGGAGCTTCTATTTCTGTTTAACCAAACCTCATTCTTCTTTTTCTGTTAATCATTTATTTATGGTATCATGTTTAGGCATGGAATTAGGTGTTTATTATATTCTATTCATAGAACTTACGACAACATGGAAGCCAAGTAGCAAACAAGTATTTATAAATGTGATAAATATTTTTTACAGATTTATTTTCTATTTATTTTTAAGTAATCTCTACACCCAATGTGGGGCTTGAACTCATAACCCCGAGATCAAGAGTCGGATGCTCTACCAACTGAGCCAGCCAGGCACCCCTAAATGTGATAAATATTTTAAAGGAGAAATTCAAGAAGCTATGGGAGACAATAACAGGAGGTCCTAACCTCATTCGGGAGGAGAGGAAATATTTAGTTGAGGAAGTAATATTTCAGGTGAGACCCAAAAGCTATGTAGGAGTTGGTCCCATGAAAGTGGGTGGCAGGCAGCGAAAGCTATCAAGACAGGTAAAAGCCAGGTGCTTTTGAGAGGATGAAAAACAACAAGGCCAGGGGGGCAGCCACTAAATCACCTGGGTCCCTACTGGCTATGTAAAGGAGTGTGGATTTTGTTCTACAGTCGGTGGAAAGCTAACAGACTTTTTTTTTGGCAAGAGCTGATAGCAATTTTATAAAAATTGCTTTGTCTGATATACATAGAAAGGATGAGAAGAGACCAATACACCAGACATTGTTAATTACCTTCCCTAGAGCAACTTCTCTACTACTTCCTTATTAAAGAATCCCAGCATTATTCCATTTTTCTGATTGGATGTGTCCTTAGGCCCCAGCTCCAAGGGGTAAGTCCTGACAGTCTAATCCAATCTTGGAGGTTATGTTCCCCTAACCAATGACTGTTGGGACATATGATATAGGTCTGGCCAATCAGACAGACACCGGCTGCTGGGGGTAGGAGGCCATTTCTGGGGAGCTCTTTCTTACTTTTAAAAATAGACATAAGACAGTGACAGTCCCTTTTGTACCTTTGGATATTATCCTTTATATATGATGACCGGAGTTGCTGCAGCCATCTTGGGATCAGGAAGGCAATTAGCCCAAGAAGACAACATGCTAAGCACATAGAGCAGAAAGATGAAGGAACCTAGGCCTTTAACAGTAAATTAACCTACCCTGGAAAAACAATGCCTCTGGCTTCTTTTTATATGAAATAAAAGCATCCTAGTTGGTTCAGACTAGTTAGGAAGTTACTGAATTACTCTAATAAAAGATGATGGTGGTCCAGAATGGGGTAGAGGCAGTGGAGTTGAGGAAAAGAATACAGATTTGACAACTATTCAATAAAAGTGCCAGGGCTTGGTAGTGGCAGTAGTGGGGTGGTGAGGGAGAGGCAAGTGTCAAGGATAACCCCAGATTACTGGCTTGGTGACTGGATATCGCACCATCACTGAGGCAGTATAGTAAACACTAGAAAAGAGGTATGTCTTGGGACCTGGAGTAAGGGGATTGGTGCAGTAGTTCAATAGGAGGTGCCAATAAAACATTCAAGTGGAACTATGCAGCAGGTAAGCAGGTATCCCATTACTGTGAGAAACACTCTTGTTGCTTCTGGTATACAAAGCCGCAACGTGGGTGACAAACCATCTCCATTACTGTGGGAATGTATATGTTGTAGGAAACAAAAGGGAAAAGAAGACTACTATAGTAAGTGTTTTCTGACCTTCTTTAATACTGTTGTTTCAGTCCTCCGCACACCCAGTGAGAAGTGGACATTACAACAAAGGACACATCATGGGACTCTGCAAAAAGCTTACACTACCCGCTTGAAGTGAGTTGCAACCTCAAAGCTGCCTTCTCAAAGCTCTCCTTCAACATCTGATCTGTATAGAAAGCCACTCTTGGGAACCATAAGCAGAGTCTAGGAACAAAGCAGGATGCCAGAGAGTTCTTCATAGGGAGCTATGCGAACTGGACTGGACGTTAATATGAGTTTACAAAATATGTCTTTCTTTGCCAAGCCACTGAGGCATTGCAAAGAGCAGATGTGAAATTACCTGGCTGGTCTCCAATACAGCCACCCCAGTCTTCTTTGTGAAGCCTGCCCCAGACACTGGGTACTATCTGATTGGCTCCCCCAGACTTCAGCCAGATACTAAAACCAAAGGACAAAGGTTGTGGAGTGTAGAATCTCCCTAGTTCCCCCATTCCTGGAAAAATCTCCCCAGAGAAGAACAGGAATCTCTGCCCCCTACCAGGTGCAGGAATGGAATTTTTACTTTACTGTTCCCTGGACCTACTCCTTTGCTTCTCCAACTCAATTAAAAGTTTTTTACCTGATATACCAAAAGGCACAGGCTTTGGAGTCAGTAGACCAGAGTTCTCATCCTGAGTAGTTCTAATCCTGAATAGACAGAGTTCTAATTATTAGCTGTGGGACCATGGCCAAGGCAAATTACCTCTTCAGGGCCTCAGTTTTCCCATCTTCGCAATGGCAACAACATAATAGGGACAATAATACCTATCTCACAAGGTGGATGTAAAGAAAGCTTTGGGTCCCTTCATCATTCTGACTGTGCTCAATTAGCCAAGATCACTCTAATAGTTTGGGGGTGGGTTGGGGGTCATGGTATCAGAGTGGAACAGAGCAAGTCCTTGTCCCCAACCAAGACAGTCATCAGCTGATTCTGCCAGCCATTCCAGGATACATTTACTCTCACCAGAAAAGCCCGGTCCAGCACATGTCCAGGAATGTCCTCTTGGTTTTCCTGTTGAAACCCTTTCTTCCCCCGGACCTCAGAAGAAACCTTCTTCTGGCTTTCCTGACCCTCAGCTGGCGCCTCAAGCACACTCTTGGGCTTCTTCTTGAGGTTACATTTCCGAGCCACTAACCAGTGTCCTCGGCCTGTTGAGAAGATCAGAACAATGAGGAGGAGCAAACCCCTCTAAAGCTACAACTTGTGTGCTTACAGAATATTTACCTATAATACCAAAACCAAAAAGAGCTCCTCATTACCTGATATGCACCAGATACTGTTCTGCTGCTGCAGCTGCTGCTGGTGGGATGGGGGGTGTCTGCATAGCTCTCTCCTTTAACTGGCCCCAAACCCCAGTGAAGGACGTGTTACTGTCCCCATTTTACAGATGAAAAGGCTAAGACTCAAAGAGGTGGAATGACTTGCCCAATTCTCTCCTCCACACTTTTGTCTCCAAACACTAATGTTCCTTCAAGACCCCAAATCAAGTATTTCCTATTCTGCCTTCTCTGACTCTCCTCAGCAGGGCTGATTATTCTTTCCTATGCGGCTCACTACTCTCCCATTTGTCATCTCTTGGCATCTAAATGAGTGGCATCAACTCAACGGGCTCCATCTTGCTAGACCTTATCCTGAATCCCATCACTATAGCATAAAGGTTGTATTAGGAGCTCAATAAGAAAATGATAGGACAGTTGGAACTTTTAAAAAATCCAATACATGTTCACTGTAGAAAGAACTTGAAAATTTATGTAAGCGAAAAAGAATATGAGGTTTACTAGTAAGCTCACCTAAGAAAAATCATGACAACATTCTAGAATCTGTTCGCTCCTGCATCAGTTTTTTCACTCCAAGGCATTCATTGCAATCTGTAATTATTTTGTTTGTTCACTTGTTTATTGTCTTGCCCCTCAGAACAGATTTTGTCCGATTGATCCATCTCAGTATTCCCAAGGCCTCACAGAGCTTACCATATTGGGAGCATTTTCTGAGCATCTACATTGTGCTAGGAACTAGGGCTGTGGGGATAAATTTAAGATGGAGGCCCTGACTCAAAGGAGCCTAATAATAGAAGAGGTGCTGTGAAAGCACAGACAGGGGAGCTACCAGCCTAGGGCATGAGCTAGATCCAGTAAGTTTAAGGCAGACTAGATGGAGATGGAAAAAATAGGCAGCCTTGGCAGAGGGAAGAGCACCAGAAGTATCCAGAAGCATAATATATCAGAACGATACAGAACAGCACAGAGTTGTTGGAGCCAGCTCAGTGCCTCTGATCATTGGCTCCTTGCCCTCATAGCCCACTACCTCTGCCTTGGGGGCTTGCCCTGGCTCACCTGACCACAGCTGCCAATCTTTATTCCTGGGTGCAACTCCCACCCTATGTCTGCTGTGAGTCATTTCCCATTCCCACTCTGGGCCTGAGATTCCAGACACTCCATTTCCCAGGGTTGCCCCCATCTGGGTCATGGATCTTTGTTCTATTCTAATAGCCCTGACTCCTGGAGACTCCAGTGTGAGTTGGTGCCCAAACTCCCAACAGGTTGAGAAAGTAAGGCCCAGACTGTTGTCTGGAGATGAACATGAGGGAAAAGAGATGAGGCTGGGGAGGTCAGCAGAGTCAGATCAGAAAAAGTCTAGAGGACCAGAACAAGGGCCTTGAGTTTACTGGGGTAGGCTTTTAGCACAAAGAGTATCCATCGGAACATTTTCCCCCCCGGTAATTTTTCATTTTGAGGTAAGTTTAGACTTCCAGAAAAGTTGTGAAAATAATACTGAGTTCCTGTACAGCTTTCACCCAGTTCCCCTAATGCTAACATCTTTTATTATAAATTTCTAAAAATTTAAATTAATTAACATATAGTGTATCACCCAGTTACCCCATCCTCCCACCTCCCTCCCAATATTAATATCTTATATAATCATAATATAATGATTTAAGGTGGTAAGTTAACACTGGTACAATATTAGTAACTAATCCATAGCCCTTTGAATTTTGCTAGTTTTCTCACTAATGTCCCTTTTCTGTTCCAGGGGGATCTCACATTTTATTTAGTTGTCATGTCTTCTTAGAATCCCCCAATCTGTGACAGTTCTTCAGTCTTCCTTTTTTCTTGTGTGATCTTGACACTTTTGAAGAGTACTGGTCAATTATTTTATAGGAAGTCCCTCAATCTGAATTTGTTTGATGCTTTCCCATCATTAGATTAAGGCTCTGTGCTTTGACAAAACTATCACAGAATTGATGCGGTGCCCTTGTCAGCGCATCCTATCAGACAGCAGGTGATGTCAGTATGTCTGATGACTGGTGACGTTAATCTTGATCACTTGGTTAAGGTGGTGTCAGCCTACTTTCCCTACTGAAAAGTTCCCTTTGTAATTAAGAAAGATACTTTAAGACTATGCAAATATCCTCTTTCTCATCATACTTTGACCCACTAATTCTAGCATCTGTGATGGTTAATTTTATGTGTCAACTTGGCTAAGCTGTGGTAAGCAGTTATTCAATCCAACACTAATCTAAGTGTTGCTGTGAAGGTATTTTATAGATGTGGTTAACATCTACAATCAGTTGATTTTAGGTAAAGGAGACTATCCTCAATAATGTGTACGGGCCTCACCCAATCAGTTGAAAAAACTTAAAAGCAAAAACTGAGGTTTCTCAAAGGAGGAAAAACTTTTGCCTTAAGACTACAGTATCGGGCGCCTGAGTGGCTCAGTTGGTTAAGTGACTGCCTTCAGCTCAGGTCATGATCCTGGGGTCCCGGGATCGAGTCCCGCATCCGGCTCCTTGCTCAGCAGGGAGTCTGCTTCTCCCTCTGACCCTCACCCCTCTCATGCTCTCTCTATCTCATTCTCTCTCTCAAATAAATAAATAAAATCTTAAAAAAAAAAAAACTACAGTATCAGCTCTTTCCTGAGTTTTTAGCCTACCTGCCCTATAGATTTCAGTCTTGCCAGCCCCCATAATTTCATAAGCCAATTCCTTAAAACAGATAATGTGTGTGTGTACACACATATGAATATGGAAACAGAACAAGTAGGATATAAATACATATCCTATTGGTTCTCTTTTGCTGGAGAAGCCTGATACAACATCTACAGAAGCTTCTTACCTGTAAAAATTATTATTGTGATGCTTTAACAGTGATTTTCTATTTCCTTCCTTCCTTCCACATTTATTAACTGAAATTCTACTGTAGGAAGAGTTGTTCCTTCTCCTACACTTATTTACATATTCAAATATTTATTTGTATCAATATGGGCTCATGGATACTTATTTATTGTATAGTTTACAACCCAATTCTACCTTTATTTATTTTGTTGTTCAGGTTGTCCCAGCTTTGGCCATAGGGAGCTCCTTCAGGTTAGCTCCTATGTCCTTCTGATACGCACTCATCATTTTTCTGAGCACTTCTGTACTTCCTGTTACTATACGATGTTCCAGGTGCAATTTGTACTTTTCTGGCTTCAAACCTGGAAACAACTATTTCTCTGAGGAGCCCTGGCTCTTTTTATTGGAGAATTGTATCCAGAAACCAAAATCTAGGGACCAGGTATGCTATTTGTGAATGAGGTGTCATTGCACTCAGTGGACTAGGAAATATACATATATATACTAACATACAGATGCACATGGCTGTATTTATTTCTCTATTGTCCATCTGTGTGTGTAAGGGGGCGTGGGGATGAAATCATGAGTTCCTACTGAGAGCTCCACGGAAGGGTTTAAACAGGTGGGGAGGATGGATTGGAGGAGAAAGTTCTTCCAATATTCCACATATAGAGTAACCAGCAAGTCATTTCTAGAATCTAGAGTCTTCAGCAAGTCTAAAGAAGGGATACTTCCCCCTTGCTCTACCCTTTCAAATCAACAAATCTAATCCAGTGAACTCATACTTCTCGGCAGTGTTTCATCTGTAGAGCTCTGCTCAGTGTTATGAGGAGTCCCTGCCCCAAGGGAGTTTTTAACTAGATGAATGTTTGAAAAACTACTTAGCAGTCATTTTATTTAGCCATTTTATTTAGGATCCTGGCAGAATATGATTACTCAACAAATAATAAACACAGAGAGGAAGACAGCTCACAAGAGAGTATGGTCACTGAGGGCTGGAGTAGCTAGACAGGGCTTATGGGAAAAAGAGCTGGGCTTTGTGGCATGGAAAGAGTTTGGATAACTGGAATGATAGCTGGAATATTCTGGGCAAATAAAACAAGCTATGTGAAAAGAAAGTACTATGGAATAGGGCATAGGTAAAGGAATGGGGTTGTGGCAAAAGATAAGGGGAGGTTAGACTGTGAACACAGAGTATCAGGTAAAGGAGTCAGCAATGAGAAGTCACTGAACAGAATAGGACACTGTGGTTCGATGTGCACTTTAGAAAACTCCCTGAGGCTGCTGAAGGAGGATGGATGGGAAGGGATAGGGCTGGGTAGTGCAGGGAACAGGAATAAATGGGTTGGAGAGGAAGGAATGGATGTAGGAACTGAGTGTGAAGCAAAGGTATCAATCTGAGAAGTCACCTGACCTTTGTCTGGCATCCGAAGGACATTTTTGGCTGGAAAGCAGTTGTTCAGGTAAGGCTTCCCATTATCCAGCTTGTATATTCCTGAGGAGGCCATCTCCCTGAGAGTCAAGCAAGGAAAGTGAGGAAGTAGAAGCACTGAGAAAGGGCAGCATAGTTCTCTCACCCAATGTGGCTTATGAGCCCACCAGGAGGACCACCATACCCTATATCCACCTTAAGTCCGAGGTCCAGGAGGCCCCTCCCCTGTTTCAGAAATGGGCTGGCCCTTTGAATGAAGAGGGAGACCAAGGCCCAGGATTTTTTGGTTCAAATCAGTCCTAACTCAGTGGAACACTATACAGAACACCTTTGGATACAGACAGACCTGGTTTGAATTCTGACTGTCCTTCCTCACTCTTATGACTGGAAATGTTCCTCTACCCTCTGAGGCTCAGTTTTCTCCCCTTTGTAAATTGGGAGTAATAACACCTACCTTAATAGACAGATGAGAGGATCAAGTTATAAAGGTAGTGCCTAGTACATATTAAGTGCTCACTAGAAATGTCCTTTGTTTTAACAGATTTCAGGGAAGAAGGCACACATGTTTTTAGGCAAGATGTCGTGAAAATAATATTTGAGAGATGAACTGAGTTTGCTAATAAAGGATAAGCATTCCAAATAAAAAGGGCCACAGGACTAAGGGCATAGTAGTGGGCACATTTGGTTCAGTAAAGAAACAACCTGATCAGGAAGGAGAAGGATGTGTGTTTGGGAGTTTGGGACAATAAGGCTGGACAGAAAGGATGGTGTCTGCTCTTGAAGGCTTTCAGCGCCGGGCTAGGAGCTCAGGCTTCCCCTGGTAGGTAACTTGAGAGCCATGAATGGTATCTGAGCTGGGGAAAGCCATGACCCAAGCTGTGCTTTAGAAAGAGAGGTCTGATAAAAATAATGCTAGGTGAAATGGGATTCCATCAACTGGTCACTGAGTCAAGACAATTCCAGCTCAGGAAAACTGTTCCAATGTAATTTTCTCTATCTCTCACTGTTTTCATTAAATCTTTTACCATCTCCCACCTAGAATACTGCAACAGTCTTCTGATCAGATTCCCACTGAGCAACCTGAGCCTGCTCTTGAAGGCCTTTGGAGTCCCATGTCCTAACCTTTCTAGCTCCAGTCAGCCCTGCCCATCAGGCTTACAGAATCATTTTCTATTCTCCAAACACATTCAGTCTTCCCTGCCTTTGTTCCTTTGGCCTAAAATAGCCTTCTCCATCATTACCTGGTTAATCTCATGCTTTAAGATTCAGTTCAGGGGCGCCTGGGTGGCTCAGTTGGTTAAGCATCCAACTCTGATTTTGGTTCAGTCATGATCTCAGGGTTGTAAGACAGAGCCCCCCATTGGGCTCCACACTGAGCATGGAGCGTGCTTAAGATTCTCTCTCTCCCCAGGCACCTGGGTGGCTCAGTCGGTTAAGCATCTGCCTTTGGCTCAGGTCATGATCTCAGGGTCCTGGGATGGAGCCCCGTGTCAGGGAGCCTGCTTCTCCCTCTTCTCCCCACTCACACACTCTATCTCTGTTGCTATCTCTGTCTCTCTCTCTCAAATTAAAAAAATAATAATAAAAAAGATTCTCTCCCTCCCCCTCTCCCTCTTCCCCTCCCCCCACCATCTCTCCTTCTTAAAAAAAAAAAAAGAAACAGTTCAAATGCTACTTCTGTTAGGAATAAATCAAAGATCTAAATTTCTTAAAACTTGAGCTCTTAGAGATTTGAGATTTTTCTCAAAGAGATCCAGCCAGCCAGGGGCTGCCTGGGTGGCTCAGTCAGTTAAGTGTCTGCCTTCAGCTTAGGTCATGATCCTGGGGTCCTGGGATCAAGAGTCTGCTTCTCCTTCTTTCTCTGCCCACCCCACCCCCCCGTGCGTGCACGCTCTCTCTCTCTCAAATAAATAAAATCTTTAAAAAAAAAGAAAAAAGAGATCCAGCCAGAGGCACCTGGCTGGCTCAGTTGGTAGAGTGTTTGACTCTAGATTTGGGGGTTGTAGGTTTGAGCCCCACATTGGGTATAGAGATTACTTAAAAATAAATTCTTAAAAAAAATAAAGAGATCCAGCCATTCCCAGATATGCTTTGGAACAGATGCAGACAATTTGGGGTAGCAGATTTTTGGGAACCTGTAAGTCCCTGGCTGGGGCAAGGATGTGGTCCCTGAAATGGAGGGTCTGGAATGAGATTTCAGTGAAAGGAAGGAGCAGAGATAGGATCAGGTGTCCTGGGAAAATGTTTTCTGGAAGTGACAAATATGCAAAGTAGAGTGGTGCAGTAGGAAGGGCAACAATTTTGGAGACAAGAGGCTTAAATTTGAGTCTAGTTTCTGCCACTAAGCTGAGTGACCTTAGGCAAGCCCTTTACCTCTTTGTGCCTCAACTTTCTCACATGTAAAATGAAGATAAAGACATGTGCCTTGGAGAATTATTGTAAGAATTAAATGAGGTAATCAATTTTTAAAAACCTTCTAGATCCAGTCCAGATGCCACCCTCTCCACAATGCCTTCACTGAACCTTCCAGAGTGAAATAACTGCTACTTTGGCTAAGCACTGGAGTATTTCTTCTATATCTCTTTCATGGCTGGAGCTCTTTCTACTTCATAAGATTACTAAAAATCATGGAGGGGTTCCTTCAATGGTTTGTGGACCTCCAAGTCTGGAAACATACCCAATTCACCATCTCTCTTCCACCTCTGGAATGCTCAAAGGAAATAACCCATAAACATGTGCGAGCCAAATGAAGGATATGATGTACTCCCAGGGCCCAAGGGTCTTTATACGTATTTCTGATCTTCCTAACTAGACTCTGAACTCCTTTAAAGGAAGGAGAGCACCTATAGAGTTCATTTCTTTATTCCCAGTACCTAACACAGCACCTAGCACATAATAGATTCACAATTATCTGCGGAATAAATAGGTGATGTTGGTATCTCCTTTGGTTCAACACAGGGCACTGTGAATTTCCTGATCTGTCACCATCCCAAAAAGGGTAAATGCCCTTCCTGTATGTTCCCACAATACCCTATACTTCTCCTAGTATAGTGCTTATCACTTTATTATAATTGTTCCCCTTAACCAATTTCTCACCTGCTGTGAGTCCCATGATATCTTATTCACGTATGTAATTCCAGAGCCTAGCATTGAACCTAGAATTCACTAAAAATGTGTCAGGAAGATGAATGGATAGAAGGATGGATGGATGGGGAAAGATCAATAGTTACTCAGTCAGGGGCGCCTGGGTGGCTCAGTTGGTTAAGCGACTGCCTTCGGCTCAGGTCATGATCCTGGAGTCCCGGGATCGAGTCCCGCATCGGGCTCCCTGTTCAGCGGGGGGTCTGCTTCTCCCTCTGACCCTCTCCCCTCTCGTGCTCTCTGTCTCTCATTCTCTCTCTCAAATAAATAAATAAAATCTTAAAAAAAAAAAAAGTTACTCAATCTGTCTTTCAGGAAATCTCTCTTGTGACCAACTACACCTATCTGCTACATAGGTGAGTGAATGAATGAGTAAGTAGCTGGCTGGGAAATGTTAGAGATGATGACTGTTGGGAGAAGACTCCAGTAACTTACAGAATATGAGGACCTTGCTTCTGATCTGCATAGTACTTACTTGATCTTTGACCTTGGGAAAGACCCCTTGACTTCCTTTTTTTTGTGTTTCTTCACCTGTAAAACAGATATTACACTCCTTCTTAGCCTGTCATTCAGAGCTCTTCAACTTTCTCATTAGTTACATCCTACTGTGACCCTTGCCTCCAAAATGTGTCTCAGCTGGGGCCTAAAAAAACCCCCACAAAACTAAAGATCCCAGAAATAGATAACTAGAGATGTAGAGATAGAGACAGAAACATGGATGGGAGGAAGGTAGAACAAGGGAGTAATTTTGTGATGATGGGGTGGGGCTAGAGTGCTTAAATAAGATGTGCAAATCACAAATCAGGAAGGATCTTTTATATGATCATTAATACAAAATAAATCTACAATAAAAGTGCAAAGACAGGGGGCGCCTGGGTGGCTCAGTTGGTTAAGCGACTGCCTTCGGCTCAGGTCATGATCCTGGAGTCCCTGGATCGAGTCCCGCATCGGGCTCCCTGCTCGGCAGGGAGCTTGCTTCTCCCTCTCCCGCTCCCCCCTCTTGTGCTTTCTCTCTCTCTCACTCTCTCTCTCAAATAAATAAATAAAATCTTTAAAAAAAAAAAAAAGTGCAAAGACAGAATTGAAAGATAAGACACAATCTGGGAAAAGATATTTGCTCTACATATATAAAGGATGAATCAGACTCAGACTTGTGGAGGGCATACACACTCGGACACAACTAATCCACTGGGAAATTCCAGTTCCCAATGAAGAATACCAGGTGAGAAGGTGTGGATAGACAATTAATGAGCTAGGAAGGGCACACAATCCTGATGTTACATTGTCTAGAAAGTAACCCTAAGGAAAGTATGAACTTTATCTGCATGGTGGAAAAAAGAAAGTCCAAGTTCCAGACTTAGAGGCTGTCTGCCTAGTTAGCTTCAGATACCTCGGGTCTCTATCTCAAACTTGAAGAAGCTAATCTCAGTCTAATTGTAATGCCTCCCAGCTCCGACACACACACAGAGTAATGGTGCTCATTTGCATACATGTGCTGCTCCATTCCTTGGCCTATGACACTTCTGCCACTTCTTCTTTGCCTAACTCATACAGACAGCTTTCCTGTATCTCCACCTCCTCAGGTTGACCCTTCTCTGTGCTACCATCTCAGCCCACCTCTTAATGGAAACACTCTACCACACTGTAGTACAATGGCCTGCTTACCTGTCTGTTCCCCGCTCCTCACACCCCCAATCCCAGGCTGTGAGCCCCTCAAATGCCAAGCCTAGATCCTACCTCTATCTTTATTCCCAGCACTTCATACAGGGTCTGGCCCACTGAAGAGGTTCAAAGAGTGTTTACTGAACTAAACTGAACCATAAACACAATGCCATGGAGTTCTTCATTGTGTCTGCAAAGAAGGAAAAAATAAGGATCAGGAAAGTTTCAGAGCAGGTGACATTAGAGCTGGGTCTTGAAAAATGAGAAGGATAGTATAGAAGATAAACAGCAAAAAGCTATTGGAGCATCTGAATGGATTGATTCACAGAAGTGAAGAAATCCCATCTAATAGTAGTTAGTGATAATCATTATCACACGAATGTTCGCTTCACCAAGACAGGTATTTTGCCTAGACTTTGTTTATTATTTAGGAATATATCCCTAGTGCCCAGAACAGTGACTGCTACATAGTAAGCACTCAGTATTTGTTCAATATTTTGACACTTAGGAGGGATTTATGGTGATTAAAAAACAAACAAGTGATGCAATGTAAGAAATCATGGTATAGGGCGCCTGGGTGGCTCGGTTGGTTAAGCGACTGCCTTCGGCTCAGGTCATGATCCTGGAGTCCCGGGATCGAGTCCCGCATCGGGCTCCCTGCTCGGCAGGGAGTCTGCTTCTCCCTCTGACCCTCCCCCCTCTCATGCTCGCTCTCTCTCATTCTCTCTCTCAAATAAATAAATAAAATCTTAAAAAAAAAAAAAAGAGAGATCATGGTATAATATAATCCCGTCATGTGATAACTCTAGGTCACTAGAGTAGATGTTCCAAGAGAGTAGTGAACAGGTCTGTCTTGATCTTCCAGTACCCCTTAGTACTTCTGAGCAATGTTGGTTGGTGCTCAATAAATATTTGTGGAAAAGGGGTGCCTGGGTGGCTCAGTTGGTTGACCAGCCGACTCTTGACTTTAGCTCAGGTCATGATCTCAGTGTGGTGATATCAAGACCCCTGTGAGATCAGGTCCCGTGTGAAATCGAGCCCCCAGTCGGGTTCTGCTCTGCGCGTGGAGCCTGCATAAGATCTCTCCCCCCCGACCCCCCACCCCGCTCACTCTCTCTCAAAAAAAAAAAAAAAAATTGTGGAAAAAAATGAATTAATGAAAATCTAGAATACTATTACATCCTAAAACGATTAAAAACAGAGTGGCAGAGGGAACATACCAGGGGGTTAAACCCCCCTGGCTTCTAAACCAGGTTCTGATACATGCTATCCGGCCTTGCGTAAATTTCTTAGTTTTCTCTTCTGACTGGGCTGTTAAGGGACTACATGAGAGGATGAATATAAATGTACACGGTACACAGCCTTTCAGACGGTAGACACTCAGCAAATGTGAGTTCTCTATTAACACGAAAACATTACTAACAAGTTGACAGTCACCAGAGAAAATAACCAGTAAGTGCTGTAAAAGGGGTAGGACGGATGAAGAACGAGCTCCTGCCGCCCCTTTGGAAACTTTTAGGGCAACGGAGACTCTAATCCCTCACCCAAATTTAGGGCAACGGAGACTCTAATCCCTCACTCAAACTAAGTTTCCAGCCGCACCTGCCTCCGTCGTCGCTTCCGCCTCCGAGGCGTCCCCAGAGGCTGCGTCCCGGCAACGCGGGATGCGCGCCTGCGAGACTCCCGGAGATCTCGGAGCCGCTCCACGGTGGCGCCTACCCCTACCTTCTCCACTCCTTGGTAACCGCGAAGCGGCGGCAAGCCGTGTAGGCAGCAACCGGTGGACGCCACTTCTAACTACTACAAGTCCCGGCAAGCCCCGCGGCCACTTCCGCTGGTCGCCTCTCGTCAGCCAGCCCCGGACTACGGATCCCGACGGACTCCGGGCGGCGTGTCACGCCGTCAGCTTCAGCCAATCGGCTTCGGACAAGTAGGAGGGGAGGGAGACGCAGAGGCAGACAAGATGGCGGCGGCGTCTGCACAGGGCGGGAGGATCGGTGGTGGCGGAGGCGGTAGTGGGGCCGGCGGTGGTCCCAACTGCGGGACAGGCAGTGGCCGCAGCGGCTTGTTGGACAAGGTGAGGAGCCGGTTCTTGGGGACAGCCGAGACCTGGGGAGGCCTGGGAGGCGACGAACCCACCTTCCCATCCCCGCCCCCCTTTTCTTGTGTGGCTTCTTAGCGGGTAGACCTCGTCTGGTCCTCCCTCGGAACCCTACCGGCGCATGTAGTCCGGTCTCTCCACACCTCTTTCCTCTTCAGGCCTCATTTCTTCTTGGTAGCGTGCTTGGTCCTTAACGCTGGCCATCACAGCTTCTTAGGATAATTTGATTATTCCTGTATTTCAATGCAGCCGTCACTTTTTTTCGGAGGTGCTGGGGGCCACAGTCGATGTGCCCATTTCACTGACGGGGAAAACAAGCCCGAAGGAATGAACGCAGCTATTCGTAGTCAGTAGTCCCCAAACTCTCCATCACGACCCACCACGCTGGGTTTCGCTACAGATTCCAAGTGCTCCTTGACCTTTTGCTTACTGAAGTTTCTAGGCGTTTTATCACGATACTCCGAATACTGAATTTACTTGAGTATTTACTTACCTTACTGAGCTGACAGGAAACTTATAAGATTTTGTTTTTCCCTCTCCTTCTTCACCCTTCCCCTTCTTTTTGCCCCTCTGCCCGCCACCAAGTGCAGTAAGTGACTCGGATTCATGAGCTTGCTGCCTGCTCTAGTTAGCCTCTTTCCCTCTCCGCCCATCCATTCTTTTTTTTTTAAACTGCGGTTCTGGCAACGAGGCTTAAGGGAAAAGAAAAAAAGGAAAACTGTGCTCCTCAGTTGGCCCTTCTTGCCCTTTGCAGAGCATCTTGGAAGAAACAATTGTATGGTGATGTAGGTCCTAGTATTGGTTCTGCCTCTAATTAGTTAGCTGTGTGACCTTGAAATATGCTTGCTCTCCCTATGTTGCCTCTAAAATGAGGGACTTAGCCTAAAGTACCCTTAGTCCCTTCCAGTTCTCTCATTGTAGGGCCCTGGGCCAGTTTGATGAGAGATGTTAAGCATGGGGGGCTATTAATATAGTAAGGATTTTTTGCTTTAATGGAAAGCAGCTTTCAGACATCCTGTGCCTAACGCATGATAGGTGCCTAAGAAACAAATATGTGATCATATTGAGGGGTTCAGATCCAGGTCTTTTTGCTTCTGTTTTGGGGTGTCATTGGTTTTGAATCACATGGTTCTCAACTCTAACCATTTTTTTTTTCTTTTTTTTTTAAAGATTTTATTTATTTATTTGAGACAGAGAGAATGAGATAGAGAGAGCATGAGAGGGAGGAGGGTCAGAGGGAGAAGCAGACTCCCTGCCGAGCAGGGAGCCCGATGCGGGACTCCAGGATCATGACCTGAGCCCAAGGCAGTCGCTTAACCGACTGAGCCACCCAGGCGCCCAACTCTAACCATTTTTAAGAGAGGAGAACAAGTTCTGGGGATTGGAATGGTAAATTGCTCCAAGACATGGGAAAGTATTGGGAATTGATATTTACTTTCATGCATAAATCCTGCCTTTCTGCTGGTGAGCATCTTACAGCCTATGCTCATCCTGTCGCATTGACTGTTCTTGCTGTCTCTGCCGTTTGGATCATCACCAGCAAACATTAAGCATGGGCATTCTTTACTGAAGAGTATATGGCATCATTGCATTATTCAAAGAACCTAGATTTGAGGATCAAAAGATACAGGCTTTGCTACTTTCAAACTGTATGAAGACTGGCAAGTCAGTTAACCTCACAAAGCTTACCTTCATCTGAAATAGTACGGTTTTGGGGAGAATCAAATGAGGTGATATACATGAATGATCTCTGTAACACATGTTACATACACATATGCAATAGCAGAGGGAAAAAAAATCAAGAATCCTACTGTCAGAAAGTATTCAGTATAGCGGACTATAGGACATAGAGGTACCCCAAATATTAAAAGTATTTGGTGTATTCAGATGTGTGCTTTTTACAGAAATTGAAATGAGAGAGAGAATGATCCGTGAGATCTAATTGATAAGGGGTGAGGGCTCCAGGGGAAGACCTCATGTCTGAGAGTGGAGCTGGGACCTTATTTTGGGAGAGAAGGATGGCATACTACGTAAGAATGTCCTTGAGCAGATGGTGCCTGATGTTTCAGGTAGTGAGTTGACTGGACTGTTCTCTAAGAGACCTGTAGTGATATGAAGGTAGAATCAGATTAAAGAGGGGGCATGGATTGCTTGGAGTAGGAAGCTGTTGAAAGTTTTTGAGGCTATATAAAGTGGTTTTCAGAAAATTAGTTTGGAGAGGTAGAAATTAAAAGCTTTCGAACAGGGTGCCTGGGTGGCTCAGTTGGTTAAGCGACTGCCTTTGGCTCAGGTTATGATCCTGGAGTCTTGGGATCGAGTCCCGCATGGGGCTCCCTGCTCGGCAGGGAGTCTGCTTCTCTCTCTGACCCTCCCCCCTCTCATGTGCTCTCTCTCTCTCATTCTTTCTGTCTCAAATAAATAAATAAAATCTTTAAAAAAAAAAAAAAAAGCTTTCGAACAAGGCCTTATACCATTCTAGTGTGTGGGGTTTATTATAAAAAGTTTAAGTTCTAGTATAGCTTGTTGAAATCCACATGGCCTTGGATAGGTTACATGATGTTACTGAACTTAAATTTCCTTATGTAAATAATGTGGGTTCCCATATGTATTATGGACTTGTAAATATTAAATTGTACAATATTGGTTAAGTGTTCTTTGTGAACAGCTATAAAAATAGAATGACCCGGCAATGAGAACCCCAGCTTGAGTAGCAGCAGTAGATAAAAGGCCTCACAAAGGAGCACTTGACAGAATTAACCAAGGTGTGAGGGACATAGAGGATAGAAAATAAGATCTTTTTAGGTGCTTTTTCTTGGAAAACTTCATTTCAGCTTTACATCAAGTTGTTCGTCCTCTGAATTCTCTAGCATTTATTGTGTATGGGAATTAAGCTGTCACTTATATGACATACTGTCTTATATTTTTTTACCAGTCTGTATTTGTCCAGTTTCCCATGAAAGGTCCTTATAGTGCTCTGAGGCAATCAACACAGAATAAGTACTTGCAGCATTAAATTTAGCAGAGAAAAAAACCCTCAGATCTGCCCCCTCAGTCTAAAGAAACTGCCTCTAGTTGTCTGAAAACTGAAGGTACTGTGGAAGAGAAGATGGGAAAAATGTTATTCTCAGGGGAACAGGATCTGAATGAATAGAGAAGCTTTTGCTCTGCGGAGATTGAGAGGCTGTTATCTTACAATCTCTTTAATTTTATTTGTCTTTTTTGGGGGGAGGGTTTTTATTTCCTGCAGCTGTAGTTTCACTTGCCATGAAAAAATGTAATAAAGAGATGCAAATGTGCTTCAGTGTGCTTCTAGCTTTCCCTAAGCAGATGTGAATTTCTGCTCCTATGAAACTGACTTTGAGAACAAAGCAATTCTAGTTTCCTGATCTTAAAAATAGGTATGCAAATGCCTCCATCACAGAATAACTTACTTAGATCATTGCAGTAAGTTATTTTGCCTAAAATACATTGCAGTAAGTTATTTTGCCTAAAATACATCAAAGCATTTTGTTCTACATATCAGGCTGTAAAGAAAATTGCTTGCTTAATTGTTTTAGCTATTAAAATTGACATGTGGTATTAAACCATGCTTTCCAGAACTATATCCAAGTCCTTTTAACCTTGTACATGGATTTCTGTCTGTTTAGGCTATTGTTTTGGCTCTGAAAATGTGGTATTAAACTGTGTTTTTTAGAAGTTGTATTCAGACCCTTTTAACTTCATACCTGTTTAACTTCATTTCTGTCTCATGGCTGGACTGTCATCCTGATCCTAAAACAGAGCTTTTATATTTTAGTAGTTGAGAATGCAGGCTCTGGAGCCAGCCTATCTGCCTGGCTTTGAATCCTGGCTCTGCCATTTAGCAGAAATGTATTCTTAGGCAAGTTAATAAATTTCTTTGTATCTCGGTTTCCTCATCTGTAAAGTGGGAAGAATAATATTTACCTTAAAAGGTGTCTGGCCCTATGTCTAGCACATAGTAAGCACTTAACAAAATATATATATAGTTACTACTAACTAGCTGGTTACTCTGGGCTTCAGCTTCCTTAGATACCTATTTTTTCTTAACATCATATAAAGGCATCAGACTCCATTGGGGTTTTAGTTAAAAATACAGATTTCTGGACCTTATCCCAAACCTGAATCAGATTCTCTGGAGGTGGGACCTGGACAGCTGCTTGTTTTTACACATGGCTGTTTATTTATTTCTTTTCTCTACATTTTAACAGTTACTTCCAGGTTGAGAACTCTCTTAGATTACTTTTTAAATCCCTTCTGGTTCTGATATATTAAAGGTTTTTTGTTTGTTTTTGTTTGGTTTGAAACTGTTCTGCTTAATCAATAGTGGTTTCTCTAAAATGTTTATAATGAAGAGATTTTGAAATTCATCTGTTCCAGCATCCTCGTTTTATAGACATGGACACAGTTGAAGAGGGGAAGATGAAGCAACTTGCCCAAGATGAGACATTGAGTTAGTTACAGTTCCAGAACCTGACTTCCCAGTTCTTTCTTAATCCAGTGCTCTTAGCTTACTTAGTACATTGCCTCTCATACTAGAGCAGGCCCTGTGCTAACTACTGCAGTAGTGGAAAGGACATCTGTTTTGAGGTTGGAAGACCTAGGTTCAAGCCTTGGCTTTGTCACCCATCAACTATGTGTCCTTAGGCCATGTATCTCCTTTTGCTGTCTTCAGTGGTATCTTAGCCTAGATTTCTGGGTGTATGCCTGAACCCTAACCCACCTCTGACAAAGAAGATGAACAGTTTTATGGCATTGCTGTAGTTTGTGTGTGTGTGTGTGTGTATGTTTAAGGAAACAAGGTGCTGGCTTTTTTTTT